CCTCTGGCCTCTCCAGGTTGTGATTATGTTAACGAGTGGATTATAAGGAGAAAAGTCTGAGCAAAGCAAGGTTTTAATGGACCATTTTTCTTCTGTTCAGCACAGATCACATAGTGGTGAAGTTTGACTTAATGAGATGGATCACATCAGTGTAATCATCCTTTATGTCATTGTTCATTCTCTTTGATGATGCTTGTTTAGCATCAACTTCATTAGATCAAACCTACTCCTCAGACTTAAAACTAACATTTAAATGGATGATTAGAGAACATTTTATACATCTACACCACAAACGTTCATCGAAGAAATGATGAGGAAAAGATTAAAGTTATGAATGGATACAAAAGTGAAAAAATATCCAGGAACTTCAAATATGTAAAGTGCACGACTCAAACATGATCCAATGAAGAGTTTCAGTTTAGCAAAAAAGCTGTAAACACTAAATTCCACACTAGCTGCGTTTCCATTGACCATGAAAAGGCGCAAATTAGAATTTCGAAAATAAATTTGCTCAATGGAAACATGTCAATTTAAAAAAAATTTTTACGACTAAATGTTTTTGCACTAGGATGAGGTGGTTTTTCAGCCATATTGAAATTGGTGTTTTTCGCAAAACTGCAATGGAAACACTTTTTTCGCATCACAGGAGTCACGTGATCAACAACCGGCTGTTTCTACTGGTGAAAAAGACGATGATGAAGAAGATAACAGGAAGTAGAAATAGTAGTAATATCACAGAAGTAGTATAAAGTAGTAAACTCACTGACTACAATTTCCCAAAAACACAGCATACGTAGCCGCGCCCAAGTAGGGACTTGTCTCTGGAAAGCCTCGATAAAAGACGACGACGTCTCCTCTGATGATGAGCGCTAGTGTCGTGGTAGCAACATGCTATGTGTTTACATCCATCGCCGCCATGTTTGTAATGACTTATCATGAGAACAAACGTATTCACGCGTGACTTTAATAGCATTTCTTACTTAATGGAAACACCGCAGTTGTGAAACTGTGTTTTTTCGACATTAACAGAATATCGACAAAGTTTTGCGTACATTTGCAGTGGAAACGCAGCTAGTGACTTTTTCTTCATTTTGTTTGTATATCCATGTCAACACAAACATCTCAGGGTACAAACAACAACCAATCTAAAGAAGCAGCAGATTGTGCTGAATCACTTCATCAGTCTCTCATCCTAAGCAACACATTGGTGACAGTGGAGAGGAAAAACTCCTTTTAACAGGAAGAAACCTCCAGCAGAACCAGGACAAGAACCAGGGACAGGTAGCTATCTGCCTCGACCGGCTGAGTTTGGAGGACACAGACACACAGAATGGTTTTTACATCAGTGTCAGGCTGAAGTTTTAATGCATTCAATCTTTGATACAAACACATTAAAACATGTCATTTCTATATGTAAAGCACCACAACAAAAGTAGGAACAAGTCGCTGAAGCTGAGAAAAAGCAGAACCATAAATTTCTGAGAAAAGAGCGATTTTTGTTTTTGCCAAATATACTAGTTGAAGTTCAGAAGAATCCACCCCATGCTTTAAGTAGTACTTTCTGAGGTTTTAAAATGGTAAACTTTGTGTTTGAATTCAGCCTGGGCACACAGCTGATTAACATGCCAGCTTTGTTTGGCTGTTCTTGTGTCTGTTCACACACCTTTGTTATGGGTTTTGGCCAGTAAAGGCTGGTCACACTACAAGATTTTAAACCAGATTTTCACTGACTGATGAGTCCACATGAGGACAAAAAATCATGGATTTACCAGGTTTGGTCCTACAGTGTGTGGTYTACAGCCACACGGCAAGAGACAACACACCACACATGAAAAGATATTTCATTCATGAACATTCGGATGTCAGATATWAAATCACGCGAGACTTCCTGAAATCTCGCGGGAATTCATATGTCCAAGGAAAAATCTCACGTGACCTCCAGAGAGACATGAGTTCAGAGTAAATAAATATCTACAACAAGGAAGAAACAATGTTGATCGTTTGTGGACTATTTTTACCAGAGGAAAAACAATTCCAGGACTTTTAACTATGTGGATATATAACGTTTAACTATGTGGAAGTATATATTCCACATGCTAATTCATAGTTTTGATGCCTTCAGTGTGAATGTACAATTTTCATTGTCATGAAAAAAAAAAGAAAACTTTTTGAATGAGAAGTTGTGTCTAAACTTTTGGTCGGTACTTTACCTTTCATAGTTCCAGAGATGCACAGTGCTGAGCACCTGGGAAACCCCTCCCGCTGCAGCATTCGTAGGGTTTCTTCCCACGCCAGTCTTCAATGCAGAAAAACAAAAAATGCTTGCCTATCCAGTTTACATGTGTTTTGTCGTCTTGGAGAAGGTGTTCGACCATGTCCCTTAGGTACACTGTGGCGGTGCTCTGTGAGTATGGGATTGTTGGGTCATTGTTACGGGCCATTCAGTCCCTATACAAGCAGTGCAAGAGTTTGGTCTCATTGCTGGTAGTAAGTCGGACCCCTTTAGGGTGGGAGTTGGACTCAGCCAGAGCTGTTGCACATTTTCACAGGTTCTGTTCATTCATTCTTTTGGACAGAATTTGTTGTTGCAGCCAGGGGACGAAGGCAGTCCAGTTCAGTGGCCTCAGGATTCCATCACTGCTATCTGCAGATGATGTGGTCCTGTTGGCATTGTGCCGTGGTCTTCAGCTTTCACTGGAGCGGTTCACAGCTGGGACGATGATCAGCACCTCCAAATCTGAGTCCATGGTCCTCAGTCAGAAAAGGGTGGATTGCTCTCTCTGGGTTGGGGATGAGGTTCTGCCTCAAGTGGACAAATTCAAATATCTTGGGCTTTTGTTCGAATGGCAAAACAATAGGGTGTGCAACTGACAAATGGATCAGTACGGCTTTCACTGTGTTGTTTACCAGCCGGTTTACGTTCCTACCCTCATATATGGTTGCGAACTTTGCACAGTGACCAAAAGAACAAGAGCACGGACACAGGTGATTGAAATGAGTTTTTTCCACAAGGGTAGCTGGACTCTCCATTAGAGATAGGGTGAAAAGATCAGATATCAAAGAGAGACAGAGTAGAGCCGCTGCTCCTCCACATCGAGAGGAGTCAGTTGAGGTGGCTCGGGCATCTGGTAAGGATGCCTCCTGGACATCTCAATCCTGAAATGCCTCCACAGATTTTAGAAATCACCAAATTGGATTTTCCATACATTTTCTGCATCTCCAAGATGCCCTGCTTCACCCTTACAATTCTACCTGTGCACACCCATCATGGCACAATTTTCTCAGGCCACATCAGGATTCAACTTGTCATGACAGCAAGACACCGCCATAAGCATCAGGTCTGTGCCTGGTTGTTTCCAAGACATTGTCACATTCATAAACATTGTCTAGGCTTGAGGTCAGAACGGCCAAATCACAATAGTGGCACAAGAGCCTCATGTCATGGATCCACTGCCACCAGGACCTTAACATACTGCCATCATAAAGACTAGGGGTGTAGGAAAATATCGTTACACCGACATATCGATATTTCATTTCCCGATACTGTATCGATTTTCTAAAGCCCTGTATCAAATTTTTAATTAAGGTTTAAAATGTTAACTTTCCTGCCAACGGTTCATTTTTTTGTTGTAGTTCAGCCTCTGACCACTAGTTGGCAGCAGAGAGCCAGCCATTTGGCTCCTCTACTCCTAAGGAGCCAGAGAGTAACGGTAGCATTAGCATGGTGAGTAAACATTAGCTTCATGCACCGATAGCTGAATATGAGCAGAAAAGATCAACACCCTCTGCCTTCTGAGCTGAGGTAAGGTTACSAACAATTACTTATTTGTCAGAATGTTTGTGTTTTAAGCCAAATTTAAGTGTCTCGTCCGGGGCGCTCTTTTTCCGACTGTAGTCAGCTGTCACATTACAGAAGGCTAGACAGGCATGCGTCTTAGCGCCTCGAGCTTATGGGGTGTTGTGCGAAATTCAGTTCCCCTGTGAAAATCTGTCCCCCCTGTGTCTGGAGGGCACACTGCAGCCAGAGAGGCAGATCCAACCATTTTCACAGAGTTTCTGATGAATTTCTCAGTAAAAGGACTCACATAATCTTGTCAAGGTAACTTTCAGTTTAATAATCAGCTGCTGTTAAAAAAAAACTCTAAAATGAATAAATAAATAAAAACCTGGCCTTCTTTTAAAATCACAGAATGAGTCATCAGTCCTTTTCCAACTTTTTTCATGTTCTCTTTAGCCTCACTATTTATCAGACACCAAACACTGTCTTCCAACACGTTGTGTGTATTTATAATTTTTGTAATGCTGATACAAAATCCAAACATTTCAGTTGTTTAACATTATCTGTTCCTACTCTGTAACATGGGAACAAAATAATTTACATCCAAATCTTCAACTGTGTTAATTCCTCTCATCATAAACAACAAATCCTGAATATTTGGGAACATTTGTTATTTAATGGCCAATGTTACCTGGATGAAACCAAATATTTTTTAGGCTTGTAAGCTAGTTTGCACTGTTTCAATTACAGAAAACTAATTTTCTCACCGCATCTTTGATTAGCTGTAGACTAGGTCTCTGTCCAATCAGAGCCAGGTATTGCGTAGTTGGTGCTTTTAATCAGTTTTCAGTTCATTTAATTCAATCCAAGTCTATGGAACAGTCACAAAATGTCAACAAAATCACTCTGACCCTCTAAAATCGTTCAGAAAATCGAATCGTATTGAATCGTATCGTTCGCTGAATATCGTTATACATATCGTATCGTGAGCAGGATATCGAATATAGTATCGTATTGTGAGATTAGTGTATCGCTACAGCCCTAATAAAAACGATCCACCATAATCTCACTACAGAAGTATGGTACATCCTCAGAACCATCATGAGCATTTGAACAGTGAAGCACTTACTGTGTTCTGCCAAGACCCTGCAAAAATCCTTCATGTTCTGTCGACCGGGGTGAAAGAACAAAATTATCACAGAGATATTATTGTACAAAGAAATAACATAAACAAAACTGTAAGTTTTATTTTTATTGTGTCTTTCAATGTCAATGTATTGAGACAAAAGTATATGAACCCGCCGTCATCACTTGAATTTACAGAACAAAATCAATTTATAAGAAAATTAAAACGTAAAATAGTCCCCTCTTTAGGTTAAATCAAGCGTGATGCATGTTGTCAGCCGTTAGCTACAGACACATCATTAAACTGAACTGATTACATAAATAATGTCTGTGGAYCACAGATGAGCTCCTGCTTTGGAACCTAATGATTAGAAGGCAGAAAAATTTGTTTGTGCAGATATTTTATTGTCGTTTGTTAGTTATGCTTTTTTTTAAACTAAGAAAGGCTTTCATAAGCTGAGCTGTCACACTTCATCAGAAGCTGACCTGAGATGGCTGAATGTGTTGGGTATTATGGTGTCAGCTAATTGCCTGAGGCAGTTGTGACATTCTTACTTCACAGCTCGACACATGAAAAAAGGCAAAATAATAATAATAAACACAAATATTAACCTGATAGAAATTCTAACTGCATGTGTCTAGTTTGATTGCTGAGTTTTGTGGTTACCTGTCTGAGTGAGGGGGGGGCTCTCTTCCTGGACCTGGACAGCCTGTGAGATCTGCTGCTGCTCTGTCTGCTTTGGGTCTCATAGCCCTCTCCTTCCTCACTTTGTTTCTGTTCTCTCATGTCCTTGATCGGTTCTTGTGACACACAATCCTGTCTTTCCACAGCGGAGGCTGACGGCGGGGGTGGGGTGGGAGTTGGCTCAGAATTCTTTTTTTGTGGGCTACCTTCATCTTCTTCACCCTCAAAAAGCTCTGGAGTAAAGAAAATAGTCTTATCCTCATCATCAGATTTGGGTGTTTCACTCTCACAGCTGAGGGGGGTTGTGGTGGGGTCTGCTCTGGTTTCACTGGAGCAGTTTTCAGTCCTCTGCTCAGGATTCACTGATGGCGAGGACATTTGGATTGTCTCTGACGGGCAGGAATCACTTGGTGTTTTTTCTTTAAATATTGGCTTCTTGAAGTTGGTGCTTACGGGGCTGCAGGTGAAGATGCTAAACAGAGGCTTGGCGGCTCCTCGTTCACCAGGAGCAAACTGCAGCGTCTCCAATGGTTCTGCATAAAGAAAAAGCAGACTTTTAACACTTGGAATCAGTTCACAGTAGGGCTGTGTATTGGCAAGAATTTGGCGATACGATACATATCATGACAGAGGGGTCACGATACGATTTATTGCGATACTGTAAGCAAGACGATTTATTGGGATGTTTTTGTCCAAAAATTCTATTAAATAAAAACCTCTTACCGAAAAAAAAAGAAAAACCAACATTTACTCTCTCAGAAAATTCTAATATTACATAGACATACTTTTGATACATTTAGCTGTGTTCTGCTTTGTATGTGTTTTATTTTATTTGTTTCATATTTCATCCATGTTTTCAATTATTAGACTAAATTTGCCAGTAAATAGTTTGAAAATATATTTTTGCAGCTTTCAGTTAAAATAAACAGTAAATAAATGGAGAAACTAAACAACACAGTTAAACCGTTTTTGAAGCAAACACAGCAGGATAAACTTAAAGTATGTGGACTTTGATGTGATCATCAGCCGGACATCATTGAGAGCAACAAACAGTTTTATGTCACGGGGGGGAGTGCCGAGCTCGAGACGCTAGATGCATGCACTATATGCCTGCCTGCCTTCCGTAACGTAAATTGACTACAGTTGGAAAAAAGAGCACATGAGACACTTAATTTGTCTTAAAATACAGACATTCTGACAAATAAGTAACTGTTTGTAACCTTACCTCAGCTTAGAAGGCAGAGGGTGTCGGTCTTTTCTGCTCAGATTCAGCTATCGGAGTATGAAGCTAATGTTTACTCACAATGCTAATGCTACACTTACTCTCTGGCGCTCAAGAGGTAGCTGCTGCCAACTAGTGGTCAGAGGCTGAACTACAACATAAAAATGAATGGCTGGCAGGAAGGCTGACATTTTAAACCTTAATAAAAAATCGATACAGGGCTTTAGAATATCGATACAGTWTCGGGAAATGAAATATTACGATATTTCAGTGTATTGATATTTTCTTACACCCCTAGTTCACAGCATAAAATGTTCTCCTTTAACTAGAAACTAACCGACAGAGAGCTGTGACTGCCAGGGGTAAATAAGGATGTAAACGCAGGCGTACGCTCAATATAACCCAAACAAAGGTCAAGGGGATTTAATTAAAAGCAACAGTCAAACATCTGCTCATCAACTTGCTCCAGTGCCACTCAGGCACGCAAAAGACCTTACAGTAATGAGGCAAGCCACTCAACTGATCCCATGGCCCAGTACCCCCGACTCCAGGGGGAGGGAGGAGGGCGGCTGCCTTTTCACCACTTCATCCACCACAGTGAACTCAACCAGGCTCAGCCTCATGGTGACCCCACACACAAAGGCTGCTCACCAAGACGATGTGCAAACACGTCACCTTAAACAGTTTTCTGGTGCTAATGTCACGCTCCTATGAACCCGAGTGCAAAAATTAATTATGAAGAATGAAAACTGTTTCTGTATGAGGTTTGGAGCGGCGTATGGTTCCTTTTAATCTAAATACAGCAGAAATGATTCAGTCCTGAGGCTCCACTGTCATTCAAAAACTGCTACAAACACATCAGACAAGCTTAATGTTGCATTACAGACAGCATTTATTTAATGCTGACACAACTCCCCTGACCTTTACCTGAAACTTAATCTCTAACCTGAGAACCTGTTTCAACACATGCTGCATTACAACCAACGTGTGGAACAATGCTATGGCTTCGCTTAATCCTCCATAGTGAAGAGGGTGTACCTCTACTTTCACTGGATTTGAGCTTCAAGTTTCTCTTCAAAGCAGGAAGTAAAGAATCTTTTTACCATCTTCTACATAAAATACTGTAGAAACATGCAAATTTACATGAGTGACATGCAGACAGTAGCTGCGTTTCCACTGACCATGAAAATGCGCAAATTAGAATTTCGAAAATAAATTTGCTCAATGGAAACACGTCACTTTCGAAAAGAATTACGTTTTTCGACAAAATGTTTTTGCGCTAGGATGAGGTGGTTTTTCAGCCGTATCGAAATTGGTGTTTTTCACAAAACTGCAATGGAAACTTTTTTCACATCACGGGAGTCACGTGATCAACAACCGGCTGTTTCTACTGGTGAAAAGGACGATGATGAAGAAGATAACAGGAAGTAGAAGTAGTAGTAATATCACAGAAGTAGTATAAAATAGTAAACTCACCGACTACAATTTCCCAAAAACACAGCATACGTAGCCGCTCCCAAGTAGGGACTTGTCTCTGGAAAGCCTCGATAAAAGACGCCGACGTCTCCTCTGATGATGAGCGTTAGTGTCATGGTAGCAACATGCTATGTGTTTACATCCATCGCTGCCATGTTTGTAATGACTTTTCATGAGAACAAACGTATTCACGCGTGACTTTAATAGCATTTCTTACTTGATGGAAACACAGCAGTTGTGAAACTGTGTTTTTGACATTAACAGAATATCGACAAAGTTTTGCGCACATTTGCAATGGAAACGCAGCTGCTTCTGCTGCTAACAGTTTAATTACTGTATATTTTGCWGTTATTGTTTGAGGTGTTGCTTCTGCTGTGTTTTTCTCTCTGCCTCTCCCAGGAACAGCTCTGTCAGGGCTGAACCACTGGCAGCAGCCTGTACTGATCTTGATTCTCTTCGGTGGCGTTTTATGCTACATCCAACACCGTAGAGTCACGAGGTCGCAGGACGTTTGTTTTCACACAAACCTTTCATAGTCCATGAGACACATGACGCAGAGCTCCTGGGAAGCCCCTCCCATTGCATTACACGCCCCTAAAGTCACCACGTTTACTTGTATTAATTTAATACACTGCAAAAACTGTCCTCTAAGTTCTAAAATCTTACATCCAGACAAAATAATAATAATTTTTTTTAAAATCTTTTCAATTTTGTTTTGGGACTGATTTACTAAAGAACAAAATGTGTCAGATTAATAATCTTGTTAGCAGAACACATAAGATCATTTATCTTGTTAGCCTGGAAATTTGACTCAAATTAAAAGAAAATAATCTGCCAATGGAGTAAGACAATTCACTTGATACGATTCGTGAAATGAGAAAACTTTGAGTCAAATTAAGTGATTTCAAGAACCTTACCAAGTGAAATGGCAGATTTTCTCAATTAATTTGAGTCAAATTTCCAGGCTAACAAGATTATTAATCCGACACATTCTGTTCTTGTTTAGTAAATCAGTCTGAAAACAAGATCAAAAAACTTTTCGTCTGGATGTAAGATTTTAAAAAGTGTAGTTGTGCTTCTACAGAAGTCGATCAAAGACCTCAGAGAACAATTCAATATGAATGCAGCTCATATAAAACACCATCACTACTGCGACGCCACCCTAAAGTATTTCTACAGATTTATCAAGATGTATGTTTACAACTTACAACAATAAATGTTTTCAGTGATGATGCACACACGTTTAAAAATGTGTACATTTCTAAAACAAGTACAGTGCAGCCTCTCTGGAACACTAAACACAAAGTTTAGGATAATTAGGCTTTTTTTAAAGAAATGTTCCAGAATGCAATACTTTTGAGAATAATGGGTGAATATGTTTATTTTTCCATCACATTTTAAATAGACAAACTTTCACAACTTTATTTTGTTTTATTTCTTAAACAGGACAACTGCAATAACTACAGCTCTTCTCCTCACTGCTAGTCTGCTCTGCAGATACGTCTGATGGYCTGCAGCAGAGTTTCTAACATCACGCTGCTTAAACGTGACGAAAATGTTTCCAAAGCCTGGAAGAGTCGAATGCACGGGAGAACTTCAAGCTAGCTGACAATAAAAAGTTGTTTCAGCTTTCTTCAACGTTTCCTTGGTGTTCGGCATCAGAAGTCTGTCCACTTCAGACTTGGAAATGGTAATTCATGCTTTCATTTCTACCTGCTTAGACTATTGTAATAGCTTGTTCACCTGCCTAAACCAGAAACAGTTAACTCGCCTTCAGCTTGTCCAAAACTCGGCAGCAAGACTCCTAACTCGAACCTCCAAATTCACCCACATCTCCCCGATCCTAGCAGAACTTCACTGGCTTCTGGTTCAGTTCAGAATCCGGTTCAAAATCCTGGTCCTCACCTTCAGAGCTCTTCATGGCCAAGCACCTGAATACATTATAAGTCTCATTTCACCTTACAACCCCAGACGAGACCTCCACTCACAGGATCAACATCTCCTTATGGTTCCCCTCACTCACTTTAAGACCCACGGTGACCGGTCCTTCTCCTCTGTGGCCCCCAGGCTCAGGAATGAACTCCCTTTTAATCTGTGCTCCCTTGATAACATTGACTCTTTCAAGAAACACCTAAAACTCAATTTTTCTCTCAAACATTTAGCTAAACATTTCACCATTACTGCCAGCCTACCTCCATTGTGAATGCTTCGCTAATCTTTGTTTTCTTTATTATTGAACTTACGCCATATTTTCTCTCCTGCATTCATTATGTTTTTGTGTATTATTGTATATTTTGACCTGCATTGACCTTGTGTTTGATTTATAATTTTTGAAATTAATTTCTTGATTTGATGTTTCAATTTTTCGTTGCTTATGTTAAACTATGTTTTTCTGTTTTATTTTATTCTTTTCACCATTTTTATACTGTTGAATGTACAGCACCTTGTGAATATATTTCTGTGAAAGGCGTTTTATAAATAAAGCTTTACTTAAAGTCCCACAGAGTTACTAATGAGAAGTCACATAAATAAACACAAAGATTTTTCAGCTGCTGAATCCATTCATGGTCTGTCTAATGGATGTTTGAGGACACTTTTAGACTAGAATCTGGGTTTTTTCTTCAGATGTTCACACAAGCATACAACACTCATGGTTTCAGATCCCCCCCCCACTAAACTCACTCACCCCTTCGGCTAATAAATAAGCTCTATGCTGAGGTTTTTTTATAAACACCGTAGTGTGTCACACTGTTGATAGAATATGATGTTTTGTTGTTTTTTTGCCCTCATCTTCCCTTGTGTGGTTTTTAGTTTTTCTGTTGTTAAAGTAACACAACTGCTTGCTGCATGATCTGTTTCACCTGTTCCCCCATGTTTGTCTTGTATGTCTTCTTGAATGGGTGTTTTTAACTGGCCCCTCCCCCTTCCCTGCATGTACAGCACCTTGTGAATTTATTTCTGTGAAAGGCGCTATATAAATAAAACTTTACTTTACTTTTGATTTATTAACATAATTTTCTGTTCCCCACCAGGTTCACTGTGTTTTCTTTTTAACATTTGTTGTTTTAAGCAGACATATTTCAGTAAAATTCTCTGTGTTTTTGTCTGTTGTAGCAGGAGAAACATCCTGATGGCTGGAAGTTTGTTGTACTGATGAGGTGAAGCTGTGGTACAACACATCCTGATACAACACCTGATCTGTGTCTGTTCATCTGCCTGCTTAATGCAGGCCATTATCCAGATATTAACTAAATAAATAATACCAGTTCTGCARATATATTACACATGCATTAAATACATGTGCAATATGAAACCTGTAGTTCAAAGAACAGATTTTATATTTGTTTCTCACCTCTTCCTGAAGGCAAAACCATGTGACTAAATCCCACCAAAAGAAGGGTTTCTCACCTCAGTTTGATGCAGTTCTAATACTACATACAGAATATTGAGTTTTTTTTATACATAAACAACCAGAGCTTCATTTTATTTAGTTGTCTTGTTGAAGTTAAAATTTGAAACTTATGTTTCGGACTCTAATTTAGTTTCATTTTATCTTATGCAAAACTGCAGAGGACAAAGTTGACTGTAAAAAAATTGTTTTCAGATCAGATTTTTTTTATTAGTTGTTTAGATTAAAAAATAATTATTCAATAGACTAATAAGCCAGATTTAAGAGACTTTTTCTGTAATGTAAAACCTGGCAGTATATTTATATTATTATTAGAGTTTCACTCCAGTTGTCTTTAGACAAGCACAGACAAACTGTCTTTTTGTGAAGATACAGCAACGACAGATGTGACTCTTGCAGTTCTTTCCTCACCTGCTTCTTTACCCTGGTCAGTTTTCAGTTGTGTACTTGTGTCCTGCTGGGCTTTAGCTGTTTTGTCACATGAGCTGCCTGACTCTGGACMTTCAGGCAGACTTTGGCTCCTGGTTAATAAGCCAACAGAGCCGAGGGTCTGGGTGTCAGCACAGGCCCCCTCCACTTTCTGCTGCCTCTCAGAGAATGCTACCAGAGACTGCATGGCGTTACTGAAGGTTCTGTGATGCTGGACAAGTTGACGGACCCATTTGGACAAACCTAAGATGACAAAAACACAAACAGCAGGCGTTAGGGCAAGTGAAGCTCTGACGGTGGATAACTACTGCCATCTAGTGTTCAAAATGAGAGGCTGTGCAGGTTGGAAGATAAACTCAGCTCAACGCAAAACAAAATTCAGCACCTGTGATGTACTTGTTGGGATTGTTCCCATACCGGTCATCCACAAGGATTAAGGCACCCCAGTCATTCCTGTGGCGGATGCACCTGTGTAACAGAAAGTAAAGGTAAGCACAAAAGGAGATCTTTTAAGATAGAGTGGAGTGGGATTATTGTGTAGATTTACCTGCCCAGGGCCTGGTTGAGAGCTCGGTAGGCCTGAATCTCGTACCAGCGATGGCCAGAAAGAAGCCCTCTGGACCTGCAGTGCTGGTCGTTGTACTTCATCTTCAGTTCCACCTAAAAACAGCAGACAGAAACCTTCTTAAGTCATCGTGTTGAGATTTACTAGGGCTGCAACGATACGGAAATTTTTATTTTATTTTTTTATTCATTTCATAAAAAAATAAAAATTTTATACATAATAAAGAAAAAAAATCACACTTGAAATGAAAGGAGGCAGAAAGAAGAAGAAAAAGTCTTATAATATCTGCTCCTTTTTCCAAAATTAATTTCAAACAATAATCAAAAAATAAAACAATTCCTTTTCAAACAACTTTTGATATACATTATAC